TTCAGCAGAACTCGCCGTTCGTTTGGCAAATTCTTTACGACCTATTTTACATTTAAAAGGGGTTCGAACGATGCCCTGCTCTTGCCGATTACGTTAAATTTAGTAGTCATATTTAAATAGGTTCAGGGTGTCAGTGTAGAAATTACTGCAGCTCCATCATTGCCGACTTGTCAATTATAGGATAACGTTTTTTGCGTGAGAACAAAGATGCACACTTTCATCTGTTTTTCTATATCAATGGCTTTTTTTGCATTAGCTATTACAACTTCGCTAATTTTGCCGGTGAAATTTACAGACCAATCTTCCAACTTCAGATGCAAGGCTTGTTTCCTCGATTTGGAGTTAATTGCGATAACGGTTAGTGTCTGTTTGACGTATACAACAAAATAAGGCGAACATATAAATAGCCATACAGAGACATTATTAATAAAGGTGTTATGGTATCTCAGTTGCTCCGTTTTGTACGGATTTGCACTCTCCTTGGCGGATTTATGTGGCAAACCAGATTGCTGATAGACATGTGTAGAAGTAGCGAGTTTGAAAATGCTAGAAGAGAACGATCGATTTCTAGAGCCATTTTTAGTAAAATTGTTCCCCTAATGAAGACAAAATCAAAAAAAAAATCAATCGGCATAAGGCTAACTTCACATTCACGGAAGACAAATTACGGCCAAAATACCCAGCTGGATCTAATTTCATATCTGAACTGGAGGGCCAATATAGCCGAAAAGCACCTTTATACAAGCAGTAGGAGGAAAATTTAGTGGTCACCAAGCGAAATCTTTGCGAAGCACTGTGAATCAACTTTGCTGGTGTAAATTGGATCCTGAAGTGATTTCCAAGTCAGCTGAATCAGGAAATCACTAGTTGTCAGAATGCACTTACTGAAAGGGTAAGTCTTGCCAAAAATAGAGTATTAGTAGGCGGTATGTCAAATTGCAGATTGTTTAGAGCCGCGTGGCGGCATCTCCAGCGGAAATGATGGAGTTCTCACTGAAGATTTCGCTCAATGGGGAAATGGTGATTGCAGTTACGCTGAAGGCTGCGCTTTATCGAGAAATGGTAATAGCGTTTCTGATGAAGATCCCGCTTTATCCAAAATAAAATTTTTTAATAGCAAATGTTCGCTAGACAGAATTGCACTTTGCTACTTAGCTTTTTAAGTGTATCTACGACACATGCTCTTATTCCTTTAAAAAAACTTGTCTTATAGCTGTTATTATATTTCCAAGCGGAACAGGAGAACGAGGAGGTGACTAAATTGCCGTTTAGCCTAGCTGCAACGCTTATACACGCTAACATACAGTACGAGAACGTTCAACAGCTGTAAAGAAGAATGCGATGTTTTCTACGCACTCGCTCCAAAACCAGGTTATATATTTCAGCCGTTTACGAACTATTCGGATTCCCGTCAAGCCGTCATCGGAGAGAGGAGAGGCCGGCACAGAAGTATGTTGCCGGTGCTGCGAGGATTACTCGAATAGACCACTAAATATGCTGCTGCTGCAAAAAAAGACCATTCGATTGCCCTTTCGCTTATTATTGCGAATAAGTTGGGTGCAGAAAAGGTCACTAAAAGGCCAGTCTTGGTTAAGTTCTAATGGCGTACCCATTTTGTATTTCGTCCACTCTGGAATTTTTGTAAAGGAAAATTTGTAGAATGCCGGCTGATGAACTGCAGAAGACAATTTCAGATCCTTTCGGGCTGGAAAAGATGTGTAACAGTGTCGTATGTTGCAGGTGGTAAATGATTAAAAGATCTTTTTAAAATACAGCATGTCATTATCTTTTTCTATGAGTAATCAATCCGCACCACTTTATGGATTTTAATAGCCTTCACGTACTTCTACAGGAAAAGCTATATGAAAGAGCGTGGATTTGCGCTTATATTGTAAGGCTAAATGCATTTTTTTCTGCAGGCTTTCGATGCGGTCGTAACATTCGAATGCCGGCCACTGCGACAGAGCGAAGAGGATGAAGGTTGGCGACCCATGTCAAAGAGTAGCGTCCGTCAGCAACACAGAAGGTAATGGTGGAGCGGCCGGCGAAGCAGCGTCGTCTCGAGTTATTGGACAGTCTCGAACTTGCATCTTTTTTCCTTGTTTCAGGTCCGTACTATCTTTTTTGTCCCAATTACGGTCGTTGAACATAGCATCTGGCTTTTTTTTTTAAGTTGACTGACACGTCACGAATGCTTATTTAGTCGCACCACGGTAAGAAAACGTGCCATTGTTTAGCTCGTCTCGAAATATCATTCATCATTTTCTCATCACCTCAGTGTGTGAAGAAAGGAAGCGAGCTAGCAAGAAAAAAACTCAGGCTGCAATGCACCAGTCTTGCCGGTGCGATTACGCGCTTTCGCGCTAAACTTGCAGATCGCTAACAGCAGGAATGGCTTCTGCGCTGTAGTTTAGTACTTAGACTTGTGCTGGTTGAAGAAGCATCCAGGAGAAAAGGGCATTGGCTGGGATGGAGGTGTTGCATTATGAGGTGGCTGCATGGACCTCCAGCGTGCATGATTGCCAGCTTTTTGCACGGAACCCGATCGTTTTTCCAGTGAATGCTCGTTCACTGAAAAAAAGTGCGGGTTTGGAAGAAGCCGGAAGGGGACTATGAAATGTACAAAACGCACTCGCTTTCGAGTTTGCGATAAAACTGAGTATTTGTCACGTCCGCGTGTAGACAATTTTACCTCCAAACTATACTAAAATCAAACATGAACATAGAATATCTTTGCAAAGTTCCAGCCTCGCAGCTTGTCTGATAAGCGAAATAGCCACTTTGCTACAAATATCTTTGAAGTGCCCTAAATCGTGGCGCAAGTGCAAAACGGGACTCAGTTTAGGTATGTGATTTTCCATATAAACAAAAAATATCCTGACAGAATTCCAGCTGCTATTTTCCAGCTAGTTTTTAGTTAGCGCAGTGGATTTAAAATCTTTAGCTCACAAATGCACAGAGAATATTCCAGCGAAGTTTCAGCTTTCTGCCTTGCCAGGTTCACGAAATCGCTTGCAGCCAAAGAAATCTGCATATTTTTTTAGGGAGAATCTGCATATTTAGAACGTTTCAGCTTCATAAGAATATTGTTTCCTGCAGTTGAGCACT